TTCAAATAATTATAATTTTAAAACCTAAACATAAATTTTTAAATCTGTTAGGAAATAGATCCCTTTTCAAAATTAAGTGGAGCACAGACAGAAAAAAAAAAGACATAGGCCTCATTTTTAAAAATAATCATCTGAATGCAGAAAGCCATGACAGATTATGACAGATGAAGACAGCCCCTACCATTGAAGACTTTAGCATCTCTTGTGGGGAAAGGCGGTTTTGTGAGGATTAAGTGAAAAAACACGTGTGACAACACGGAGCTGACTCAGGCCAGGGGACTGATAAAACTTAGTTTCCCTTAATTTAATTAACCTTTTTTTCCCCCAAGCATTGAAATCGCATCCTCTTGTTACAGAACGGGGGTGGGGGGAATCACACAACTGGTAATCAACTTTCATTTACTGTCTCTTCATACAGAGAGTTATGGAATTCTCACTCAGCCTCAAATGTAAATTTTAAAAAGAACAAGAAAGGAGGGAGAGAGAGAAACAGAGAGAGGAGGGGCAGGAGGAAAAGGGAAATGGGGAGAAGAAAAGAGAAAAAAAGAAAAGCAAGGAAAGCTTTTTAATTGTTTTTTTTTCTTTTTTTTTTTTTTTTGATTGTCATATAGTCAGTTTACAATGTTGTGTCAGTTTCTGGTGTCTAGTATCATGTTTCAAAGAAAGGAAAGCTTTTAAACACTGCGTGCACTGTCTTCCCAAACCAAGCAACTGGGATAACTTCTGTGTTGATCTAAGCGCACATTCAACCAGATAAATTTTTCATTGCTCCCACCTGTTTCCCAAATAGCTTCAACTGTTCTGCCTTTAACCCACTTTGGCCGGATCCCGTGTGGAATCTGCGCTCTTGGAATACCCAATGCCGGGCTCCCCCACCGCAGCGCTGGCCTCAGTGGCAGCTGGGAACGCTTCTGGGGAGCAGCTGGTGTCCAAGGCTGCCGTCACCCAGGGCGAAGGGTCATTTTCTGCCCTAATGGTATTTGGGGGACACATTTCATTAAAATCACACCGGACATGTGTGTCGTATGTTTCTACAGAGACAGAGAACTCTCACGATCATGATCTCATGTGGTCCCTCTGGGCCTTCAGCACAAGCCTGGTCGACTGTCACGTTAGGAGCCTGGGCCTGAGTTCAGAGCCCAGCTCTGATGCTTATCCCATGAATGACACTCCAGGGAGAAAAAAAACCACTTTAATTCTCAAGACTCCATTTCCTGACCACAAAGTGAGAAGACTGGACTAGATGATTGCCCCTTAAAACGAACATTTGTGGGCAAATGCCTCAAAGCCAACTTTCCCCAGTCAACTCCAGCCACTATGGAATGAAATTCAAACTGGTCCCCCACTGCTTACTGTTAACCCCCTGGAATATGACTAAAACCAACCACAATCCGCCTTGCAACATCTCACAGCAAATATGCTAACTTCACTTCATCCTCCCAACACACCTAACAAGGGAGATGGTTCAGCTGTCATCCCCTCTAGCTCACAGATGAGAAAATGGAGGTGAGAATCAGTGGGTTTCTGGCAATCACACAACACAGGAGGTGGCCGAGTCCTACCTTCCAGCTCTGAAGAAATCAAACCTTCTTGGAAAACCAAAAAGTTAACAGAACCTTATTGCTCACACTACCTTCGAGTGTGTCCAACCCCACAATGCCGGCAACCGTTGAAACCAGGATAATCGACTGGGGCACATGATAGTTTATTTCATCTCTGATTCACATGAGTCAGTTCATGGGCCATAAATGCCTCTACGTTGAATTTGACATTTTGAGCCCATTTTCAAATGGCTGGTTCCTTAGGGGCAGAAACGGTGTTCACATGGAGACCTTCACCTCCCTGTGGCTCTGCCCTGTGGGTGCCTGGCACATCCTTGTTGATTTGTTTCTCCCGTGTCAGGGTGGGCCTCTCCTTGACAACTGGGGGCCACATTTAGCCAAGCAGCTGCCCACTGGCGTCTAAAGCCTCCGATTCATAATTCTGGCAGCATCTCAAAGGCTTTATTCTTATCACCCCATGATTTCATTATTATTATTATCGTCCTTATGAAGTGCAGGAGCTGAACCCACTACAAAGCGTCAAGCTCAGGTTTAACACGGGACGGTCTGTTTTCTGCATCCCCCCCTCAACTGAGGGATTTCCCCCCGGTTTCTGCTCACTGTTGGAGGGCTCTAAGAGGCGGCCTGCAGCCACGAAGAAGTCAGCCTCAGTATTCCTCCCACCACCACTGCCCTGTCCCAGGGTCGCCCTGATGGGAATAAGGCTCTTCAAAGGGCCCCTGTTGGTAACGAGTGACAAGAGCACGGCCCTGGGGGCGGGAGCCGCCGGGCTGGGGAATGAGGACAAGTCTCTGTGCTAACCTGGGCCTTCGGTTCCCACACATCAAACGAGGCAACCAAGTGACATTATTCTGAAGATTACTCCTGAGGAAAAGCTTACTCAGACTAGCTCTCGTTTTACCCTTTTCCTGGGTTCTGGAGATTTGCACAGGGAAGAGCACCTCATCGGGAAGGACCTCAGGAAAAGAGCCTCCACTCCTCACACCCATTTCAACCTCGCCCATCAATTTGCCCCGGTAAAAAACAAAGTCTTAACTAATATATATAAAATAGATAAACAAGTTTTTAAACAGAAAAAAAAAACAAAGTCCTACTATAGAGCCCAGGGAACTATATTCAATTTCTTGTAATAACTTATAATTAAAAAGAATATATATGTATAACTGAATCACTGTGCTGTACACCAGAAACTAACATTGTAAATCAACTATACTTCAATTTAAAACAAAAACAAAAATCCAATCTGGTTTAAACAAGACTTAAGGGAAAATGAAAGTAGCTCTTTATCAGGGAAGTCAGAATTTAGGTGCATTCTTACCTAAAACGTGCTAAGGTTAAAAAAAAAATTTATCAGGAGTCTTAAGGCTTAGATTTCCCGCCAGCTTTTTCAGTAACTAGCCATGTAGCCTCCAGCAAGTCCCCTCTTCTCTCTGTACCGCTGACGTCTCATCTTCTAAATTCAAACATCGATACCTCTCTGACTCACCTACTCCAAATAGTCCTTGAAGCTCACAAGAAAATGTGGTTTGAAAATGTGAAGCATTACCCTGTATCCAGACAAGTCATTAAATTAAGGTCACCTCCCTCTTTCTAGATAAATCTCAGAAGGACTAAAGGATTGATGCAGCGCTGAAAAAGATGCGCGCCTCCTAGCAGCAGCGGGGGTGGGGGGTTTATATTTTGTTGTAGAGTTTGAGCAAAGCTTTTTATCCAGTTTGATTTACAAACACTTTAGGAGCCCACTGTGTGCCTTATATTGTGTGGAGACAAGAGAAGACGTCAAAACAAGTATAAACTTCAGGAGTTTACAGCCTTTTCAATTCAAGATTTGCACACACACACACACACACACACATGACAAATTTCAAAACAGTATGATGACACGTTAAAGTGCATAAACAGCTATAACAAATGCACAGTCCAGCCAAGTTGGGATCAGAGCCTTCAGCAAGGGGAAAGATTGGGGTTAAGCGGAGTTTGGGTCAGGCCCACAGAAGAGACAGAACTGGGGACAGTCTGGGGTGAGTAGGATGAGCAGTTTTCTACATTTATAACAGCAGACCTTCAATACCAAACAACAGAATTAAAGAAAAAACAGAACTTTAATATTTTAATATTGTTACTATTTTAATATATTCAATAGCAACAGATTTCAGACCATAGTTTTCCAGCTGATAATTCTCAAAGACTCCACATCCATTTAGGTTGTAAACATCATGTAAACTATAGCATGCATTCTTTTTTATTTTTTAAATTAAGTTACCTATGGGGGTGGGTATAGCTCAGTGGGAGAGTGTGTGCTCAGCGGGCATGAGGTCCTGGGTTCAATCCCCAGTACCTCTGTTAAAAAATAAAAATAAAGAAATAAAATAAAGAAACCTAATTACCACCCCCCAAAAAACACACACACACAATTAAGTCACTTATAAATGTGTGGTCTAAAGGGACTCTTTTTTAAAAACTGAGATCACCTACTAGGAGTCTGTTTTCTCAAAACGTCTGCCTTATGTCCAACGCCTTTCCCAGGCTGACCCCTTACAAAGCACGGGATCTGGCCACAGGTTAATTAGGACTTCCTGAACACACATTACTGCTCCCATGCCTTGCTCAAGTGTTCACCCATCTGGTAAGGCCCTTCCCTCACCTCCCAGGTATGAAAGCCCCTCCCGACTAACTTCAGGACCCAGGTGAAACTCAACATCCTTCATGAAGCTTTCACAACCTGGTCCACCACTCATCCATCCCCATTTCTGAATACCAAGAGCTCTTATTTTCCATACTATCAGTTTGCAATTATCATATTCTGGGTTTTATTTTTTTTTGGTATATTCTTCCAGATACAGGTTTTATCCCCAAAAGAACCTGTTTAATGCTCCCAAGTCAGGGAATATGGAAACTTCCTTGTATTTCCAGTGCCGACCACATTAGGCTGCGGTTTGGCAGGCACACATACTAAATGGACATGGCTGAGCATCCAGTCGAGACCCCAACTGGCCACATGTTCCATAATCCCACTGCTACCACCCTTCTATTTGAAAAATGGCCAAAATAAGTTGCAGACAAGCTAAAAAGACTGCATCTGAGGTGGTATATATGGACGTAACCTAAAAGAGGCCCATTGTCAAAAGATGAGGATCAAGTCACTTGGGGAAAAAAATGTTCTTACTCTTTAAAATAATACAGGCCTCATTTCAGTGGATTCCACAGACAGTACCATGGAAGCAGATTTGCCTATCTGAGAGAGGATTTAGCCAAGGGCATTTCTCCTTGCGAGGGGACAGCTGAAGAGGTGTCATTTAACAGCTCTCGGAGGCCCGTCAGTGTGGTGATTGAGGTGGACAGAAGGCATGGACATGACCAAGGCCCTTAAAAGACATAGACAGGTGGGAGAGCGTGCTGGGGGTGGGCGGAGGGCGGAGGGTACAAAAGGAGGAGGCTCGCCTTCCCAGAGCAGAGACCGGGAAGGCGGAGGCCAGGAGCGGGAGGAGAGGAGGGGGCGGCCCAGGAGCGGAGGTCTGAAGCGAGGTCACATCTGGGCAGGATCCAATGAGAGGTAAAGCTAGAAAGGGGGACAGAACTAAAGGGATGAACCAAGGAATGGACCGGACACAGAGAGAGAGAGAGCAATGACCGACCATAGGATGGGGACGCCCTTCAGCGAGAGACAAAGACGATCTCTCTGTGTGACCACAAGGATGGCGATTAAAAGGACAGGAGTGAACAGACAGGGAGGAAACAGGAAAAAGGAACAGGCAAGGAGGCAAAATAAGTAATTCGTGCACCAGGGCTAGCTAAAGGCTCAGAAAATCACCAGGCTGTTAGGCTGAGCTGGGAGAGGAGACAGAGCCGTACCCAAGGGTGGACCATCAGAAAGACACAGGCAGGCAATTTAAGCAGCTAGCTACTGAGGTAAAAATGAAAAAAAAGAAAAATAGAAGATGGAAAAGGTGAGAACCGGGAGAGGGAAAACCCAGAGGAGACACTGGCCCAGAAACCTTTTTAACTTTCCGTAAGAATCTTCAAGGCCCCAAACTAGGCCAAGATTCTGACTGACATTTCTGAGCTCACCAGCTGCTGTTTCCTTGAGAGAATTCTGACAGGAAGGCATAGAAATGCAAGCCAACACTGCTAGCTCTGGGGAAAAAAAAATCCACGCTCTTAACACCTCAATGGGGCTGAAACCCGCCAGGGAAGAAGGCACACGGAGGAGGAGGGACCGGTCCTGCAACTTCTCCCCAGGTATGTACCCAGCTGCTCCCACGAGGGGCTTTCTCCTCTCATTGTCCTCTGGCCATTCCTGCCTTGCCATCTGTCTGTCTTTCTTTGTGCATGTTGGGGAAGCCCTGCGGGCGATCTGCTTCTGTCATCTGAAGCCAGCACCGCCGCGTCTACAGGAGCAGGTGAAGCTCCACATTCAGCATCCCCAAACAGGCGGGGATGCTCTGCTGGAACCCAGATCCATCAGGCAGAGTTAGGCGAGGGCAAGCGGGCGAGAGGAATCGCCCAGCCCGCATGACTGGGGTGTGGGAATGACTTGTCGGCTGGTCGTGACCATGAACTGGATTCCTTCTGCAGGGGCTAGGAGCAAAGGCAGAGGGGCAGGAGGGTGGGTCTGGAAGACAGAGGGATGGGAAGGACAGCTCAAAGCAGGTACAGATTTCACAGTCACCTAGGGGCTGGTCCATGACCTACAGAAGGGCTCAGGTTTGGGGAGTGATGGATGAGATTTGGACCAGCACATGACCTTGAACTCGCGGCTTGCCCTGTCAGTGCCTTGGTTAAATATTTTGAATACATGTTGAAATTTTCTCCCAAGCACCTCAAAGAAATTTATTTCTAATACATCGTCTATCTCAAATACACAATCACTGAAATGGGAGTAGCTTCTTCCGATGACCCCACAGATGTCCCCACTAGGACAATGTGAAGTGTCATATCTTTTTTAAAAACTAAGAAACTAAGTCCCCGAGCAATGTTTTTCTTTGGAAAACTAGGACAAGAACCAGATTCTCTAATGTGTTCCCTGTATCTTAAGCAATTCTTAATTCTCACTCAATTTAATAAGTGTATTTTTTTTAAAAAAAAGAAGTAGTAAGAGATTTTGGAGTTACAAAGCTTTATCACAATCCTGTATTATTATGTTATATTGTATTTTCATTATGATCCCTCTGCAAATATGACAGGAGGTGAGTGAGTCAGTGGACCCACTGCTGAGCTCTCTTGTCAAGAAAAACGTTTACCTCATCCCATGCCCGTTTGTCACCAAACCCCGCTTAAGCTTTACTGGTAAGAGTCAGGAGCCAAAGGGATGCTTCCCCAGCTGTGTGCAACCCCTCACGCTGATAACTCTTAGTAACTTTTAGTAACTTCACGGACAGGGCTCCCCGCTTTGGAGTGTTGTCTGTCTGTCTGCACCCTTACTGGTAAAAGCTCCTATCACCACAACCTTGAACAGGGCTCACACCTTCCTGGCTTCTGTGTGGCTTTCCTTCTTTCTCACCACCTCATTTTTAGGAATTTTAGGGCTTTCACATCCTGAGCGGATGTAAGGGCTGATTCCTCACCCTTGAATTGTTCAGCATCAGAAACCTTGAACTAGAGCAGTGGTTCTCAAAGTGTGGTTCCCAGACCAGCGACATCAGAATCACCTGAGAGCCTGTTAGAAACGCCAAGTCTTGGATCCCACCCCAGACCTACTGAATCGGACACTCTGGGGGTGGGTCCGGCACTCTGGGTTTGAGCCAGCCTTCCAGGTGACTCTGAGACACCAGATTAAGAAGGTTCGGATTATTTTTAAGTGCTGTTTCCTGTAACACACAGAGCTCAGATCTCCTTGCAACTGTGACTCTGGTCACCTGCAGGGCCATCGCTTCTAAAAGAGACCCTTCCACAAACAGCCACTTCTCAGTTAGCGCCTTACGTCCCTCATCTGCAAAATGGGGAATATTTGGTAGCAGTGACTTGTTACGGTGCTGAGAACAGCTCCTGCGTGCAGTAAGTCAAAAACGGCGCAGTCAGGTCTCAGCCCTCTTTGAAAGGAAACATGTGCATTACAGGTACACAAGGAGTCCAACAGCAAGTTAAGATGTGAGGTGTGCCTAAGGACAGGTACAAACAATAGGAACAAAGAAGGAAGAGGGGCAGTTGGGAGAAAACTTTGTGGGGAAAATGTCTTTTGAACTGAGCCTTAAAGAGAGAAATTTTAACTAGTGAAGATGGGCAAAGGGAAAAGAACATTCGAAGCAGAAGCTAAGAACAGGGAACATGGAAAAGAGAAGACATCACTGGTCAGGCATGGACAACAGTGCCTTCTCTCCTTTCTGTTACTAATACGTGAACTGCTCACGTTGTGGAAAGGGGTCGCCCATTTCTGGATCTAATCATTTGTCATCACGTTTGCAGAAATTCTTCCTTTAATCCAAATTAAATCATTTTCCTCGGCCTGCTGTAAAATGAGTTCTTTCCGGTATTAATGATTTCATCATTTTAGCATCCACATCTCTCTGTCCTGTTTATTATTAGGTCAGTGTTTTTCAAAGCCCTCTGCCCACCAGCAACAGAATAAATTGGGACTGGTTGCAAAAACAAATGCATATTCCTGAACCCTGGCCCACATGGCTTCTTGCAGCATCTTTGAGAGTACATCAGAAGAATCTGCATTTTTAACAAGCTCTTAAGTGATTTTAACATTCACTCAAGTTTGAAAACAACTCTCCTAGATCTGTTCTTTCCCAAATTTGCTGAGCATAGGAATCACCTAGGAGTGCTCATTAAAAATGTGGCTACCCAGTCATTCCCGTGCAGGTTCTGATTCTGTGGCTCTGAGGTGGACTACAGGGAACAGGAGCTTTAACAAGAGCCTCGGTGGCACTAGGATCAGGCGAGGTTGGGAACCACAGCGTATTAGAATGAATGTGCACTTTGGGTTAGAGAGGTACTTCCAGTCCTAGGGCAGCCATTTATCAGCTGTGTGATCTGGGCAAATTTCTTAACCACTCTGTGCCTCCAAATTATCTAATCTGCTGGAAGCATAAATAAGTAAATGGCTTAGTATAATGTTGGCTCCCTCTCATCCCCTTGCCCCGTCCTCCCCCAAAGTCCCGGCTCAGCTCTCCAGCTCTGATGAGAAGCAGAGCAAGGACAACAGTGATGGTAAAATGTCACCCAAAATCACCTCTTCCGAGAGAGGTAGCAAGGTGCCCGCAGGGAGACACGGTGGGCTTTGGGAGCTGGCCTTGCCCTTGGCTGCCTCTGGGAAGTTGAAATGGGACTCATGCCCATGACTGAATCAACACTCAGAACTGACCAGTCCTCTAAAAATAGCAAGACATCTGGCGGAGCCTTAGGAAAAATAAGGTTCTATCCCAACATAGAACCCAGGCTTGCCTTAAAAGGAGGGGCCACTGCTTTATTGCCTGCCTCCTCAGCCAGGTGATGGTAAGCCCCAGATAATCTGGCTTGTGCCTCAGTGAGCTCCAGAACAGCTTCTGTTTCATGGACAGCCACCAAGAACACCAGCAGCCACTGACGCCAGCACAGAAGGTCACGAGTGCTCAGCGTCCGGGAGGATGCGTCTGTGCGCACCGCTCCTCCTGCAGACACTAGAAGGGCCCGAATCCCCAGGAAAGCGTGCAATTTTGATTGCTTTTTAAGAAACTATTATCGGCCCTGACCGGGGGGCAGAGAAGGGATAGGGAGGGCTAACAAGCCTATATTTGAAATTCAGAGGGTGAGATACAGGCGGTTTTCACACAGAGTCCTGCCTTCCTTTCCTCATTCAGCAAAGGGCCGATTGACTAAGGCCAGCTCAGTCATCAGAGGGCAAGGCCTTGTAGTCAATAAGGGGACAGTCAGAGCATCTTATCAAATATATTTTTTCATAAAGGTCCTGAAAATGAGACTGGACCCCTGGGTATTCAGAACCTCTAAGGATTCTTGTCAGAAAATGATACTGATGAATCTCTTCCCTTTTAACAAATCTTTTTCAAACATATGAAAATATTAAAAATTGTTATTTTTTTTAAAAGAGGGAACGAAAATTGTGAAAGAAATAGTTTTGATGGGGGGAAGGGTATAGTTCAAGTGGTAGAGCACATGCTTAGCAGGATGAGGTCCTGGGTTCAATCCCTAGTACCTCCTGTAAAAGTAAATAAACCTAATTATCTATCCTCCCCACCAAAAAAAAAAATTAAGTATTTATTAATACAATAATAAATAAATAAAATATTTTTTAAAAAGAAATAGTTTTGGTCATGGTTAAGTTTTCCTAAGTATCTTAGAACCACTCCTTGCATGACTGTTATGTGAATGAAGCTTTTTAACGTGAGTCAAATATAAGGACCTCCATGCAGTGGGTAGTTTCAGTTGCCTGTTAATATTAATTAATATTAAGTATATATTAAATAAGAGTAGCAAGAGCATTAGAGACCATTTATTAGACTTCTAATACTATATTCATGGCACTTTACATAAATCTATCTCATTGAAGCCCCCTGTTGAATTATAGTGAAGTATAATTATAGTTACTTTACAGATGAGGAAACTGAGGCTCAGAGAGGCTAAGTAACTTGCTCAGGATCACAGAGCCAGAACGCACAGATGCCCAAGCCATGCTCTTCCTCCCTATAACCCTCTGCCACCAATCATCTTCAAGATTATATTGCCTATAATTCAGACTTCTCCCTAGCTTAACCCATCCTTGATTCTTCCCAAACCCAAGAGCCTTTCTGAGGACTGTTAATGGGAAATCACCATCCTCCCTTCTCTGTAAGGTCATGTCTGAGTCACTGATGTTCAAATACTGCCCTGCTTGGTGAAAGAAATAGGAAAGAACTATAATTGTGGTTTATGCTCTTAATGCTATCTTGACTGTTACTTAAGTTCTAAATACTTTTAAATGGAACTTACTTCTCAAGAACAAGGGAAAGGTAAGGGCTTTTGGTCCACTGTTCTGACTACTGGGCAGAAGACGGGGAAAATAAATCTTGTTTTCAATAACATGTTGAGTGACATTTTATATGGCCATTAGCCTGTTCTTCTAAGAAACTCAAGACCCTCACATGTGTTCTCTCATTAATCTTCAACCCTCCCTGTGGTGGGCAGATGGGGTTACACAACCACTGCAGGAATGAGGGAGAGGGAGGTGGTGATGTCACCAACATCACAGAGCACACCAGTGGCCAGGTAACACACCATCCCTCCCATTCTCCATACTAACACTACCAGCCAAAGTTAGAAGA